TGGCAAAGGAAAGGAACCATTGCCTATGAATTCCTTTCCATGTTGTCTACTGACTTAGTTCACCTGTGTTTCCTGCCTACTCATGAGCTAAGCTGTTGCCAAGCTACAAAAACAGCCCTCCATTCAATTCATGTTGATCCCTCCCTACCTCTACTACATGTATGAGCTACTTCAAACTTCCTAATGGAATTCTATAGCCTACATTTAGCCTTTTCAAAAAATAACAAGACAAATATATTTTTTTTATGTGTACATTCACATTCAAGTAAAACATTGTTTGGTACTCTGCAGTGAGAATAATCACAAGCCTCAAAGATGTTAATATTCTAAAGCTGCATTTAAGAGTCTTCATAATAATGTCCTGACAACAATGAAAATATTTTTTTTGTTCTGTCCATTTGTGATACTTCTCAAAGATGTTCAGTTCACACCAGTCCACTTTCTGCATCCTCAATACCCAGACTGATTTTTTATTTCTAGGATCTAACTAATGTAGAGCCTGAAGCAGTGCACATTGACTGCAGTGAAGGTCGACCTGTGGTTGAGATTAACAATATAATGTGGTAGCACACACTCATGATTGTAAGGGCTGTTGACTGCAATGTTTCTATGTATTATCTAATGCTATTCAAAGGAGTTTTCAAAACTATGTATGATACTTTTCTGGACTTTCCTCAACCATTTGTATTAAGAAATTAGTTTTAACAAATGGTCTCACACAAGTGTCAAAGAATTTTGTTATGGATCCGCTCTAGTTATGATTCAGAGTTCAAGCAGATTACATTCTCAGCAGTGTTTTCGGCAGATGCTCAGTATACAGATCCATTAATATATTAATATGGGAAGATTTTTATACTCAATGGATATACTCAGAGTGGGTGGCTAGCCATATGGTGTCAGTGTTCTGAATAACAGATGACCTCAGATCGGATTTTTCTTAGGAAGGAGATGGGGAGAAAAAAGAAGGAGAGATGGGGGGTGAATTGGCAGCAATCCTCCCCTAACATTCGTGCCAATAAAGCAAACTGAGCTAAACAGAGCGGTGAGCGGGGGAGTAAGCTCAGTGCAGAGGAGGGGAAGTACACAGAGAAAGAAGATGGAAGAGAGGAGGTATACTTTTAGATAGAGCATGAGAACAGAAGTTCTTTATATTTCAACAAAAGCTACATGTCACAAGTTTGACTCTTTAATGCCACAACGTTCACTTTGTTCAACAACAAAACTTTACTGTTGTGCTTTTTCACCTCTTTTGCCTATATAGATCTCATGTAATCACTATATTAGTTTTTGCTTGAATGATGTTAAAAAACATTTTAATCATAATATCTTAATAATTATATGTAAGATCTAGATTTAGGTGTAGCACATCAATGGTAAGACAGAATTTAGTCAATGTAATGCCGCAAACTGTTGTCTAACCTGCTGATGTTTTTATGTTTATCTTTTTAAAAACTTTTTTTTACTAGCATAGTTTTAGCTGCAACATTTTCCTTTTTGGTGTAGTTAAGTCAGTTGTTTTCACCCCACAGACCACATGTCCTTTCATTTTGAAGCAAGAGAACCAGCAAATTAAATTGGGGAGTCGACAGAAAATCAGTCAGAGAGAAGAGCAGGAATGAGGCAAGCTAAAGAAAGTTTGCGGATGGTGTGTTGGGGGAGGGGGGGGCACAAAAAGAACACCTGTTGAGATTAGGGTTGGCACGCGACCCACTCCAACTCGCGTGGCAGCTGCACCTCACAGGAACAATGGCAGTAAAAGAGTGAGACGGAGAGAGCGAGAGGAAAGTTTGAATGCACTACTTATCCTTTCAGGTCGTGCGTTTGTGTGTGTGTGTGTGTGTGTGTGTGTGTGTGTGTGTGTGTGTGTGTGTGGCATTCTAATGTGTACACTGAGTAAGGGAGAGGGATGGGGATGAGGGGGGGTTGAAGAAAAAGAAAGAGAAGGCTGCCAAGAGACAGAATTGTGTATTCAAGCTAACTTTGAGGCCAGAACTAGGTGAAAGGTCTTATTTGTTGTTGGGATATAGAATAGAATAGAAGAGAATAGAATAGAATAGAAATTACATGAGGTTTTAGCAAAGTCGACCACGACCAGCTGTCCCAGATGCAGACATTTTGGGGGTTTGTCGAAAGACATGAGGACACTGTAAACTTCATCATATCAGTGGAGGTTACTCTGAATCTGTGGTTGTTTTTCTATTATTGGGTTGTTCCCAGTGGCATGTCTTATGCCTCCATAAAAAGCATGTATGTTGTACGTTTCTCTCATTTCCTTTACATGGTTTTATGGAAGATTGTGAGTTCATGAGCCAACATTCTCATTTCCATTGCTGTTCTGCTTCATGAACACACAAATTGGAGACCAATTACCCACTGCTTTACTTGGTTGCACTGAAGATATGAGGCCATATTTGATATCATTTTGCACAGTGAAATTAGTCCAGTTATGTTGGAGACTTTACTTTCTTAATAATTGTAGTCCTCTGGTTCTCTGACTCTCCTCTTACTTAGCTGCACAACATCTGACCATGACTTACAGTTTCTTTTTTTCAAAACAAACAGACCTACCACTCATTTATTTCCTGTTCACTTCATAATCTGGTGATGTTTTTAGTGTGCTGAAACGTTCCTGCTACTTTAAAAGCAGAGATGTTTCAAGGAAGGACTAAATACATTTTAAAAAATATTTCACTTACGTCAGTTTGCCATCATTTTATTCATTTCACGGCCAGTTATATACATGGCTGTGACATGTGCATGTACTCGCTCTGCCTCTCTGGGATGCACCCCTATCGCACAGAGACATTATGTAATTCACCCCGGCTAACTTGTTCTCAATGCTGGGGCTCATCTCTTTTACCCTCCCTGAAGTTTTTCTGCTGCACGCCCGTGCTCCGTCCTCTCCAGCCCTGCGACGCCATCTAGCGACCCTCCAGATCAGCACCGTGTGCGCCTGCCTGCTTCCATCCCTCCACGTTTCTACTCTGCACTGTCTCAGATTGGAAGTGGACTGAACAACAAACTATTTTGAGAGACAGAAAAAAAACACACAAGTGTATTGTCGTTATAAAATATTTAAAAACAAGTCAATATTTGACTGATTCGGACCAATTTCAGAGGTATTGCATTGTTGTGGTGCGCACTGTGACTTGACTCAGCTTGTACCAAGTTATCATTAGATACTGGGAAGAGGAATAAAGATTACATTTTGATCTCGGAGCTGCCCATCAGTTTTGTATTTTTGTTCATAACTTTAAATGTAGCTGAGGTAAAAAAAACGGGTAGAGTTTGCTTTGTGTGTGCTCAGAGCTCAGCCCAGTGCGTCTTTTTCCCCACCTGCTCTTGTTTGTGCGGGAAACTGCATTTATCTGTCAGCTCCTGGGCGCGCGGATGTGTGCGCTCTCACAAGCAGTTTGTCGCCTGCGTCTTCTCTCCCCAATATTTCCTCTGCCTGGTGTGCTGGAGAGGGGTTGGCTCGATGTGTGTGATGTGACAAAAGACCGCCCAGCCCCGCCTCGGAGAAGGGGGAGAAGGGGGAGAAGGGGGGGCGCAAATCATGTACAGCTTGGCGTATAGTCCTCTTTCACACTAGCCTAACGATCATGATGTGTCCAAGAGATATTTCCCTTGTTTGTGAGAGAGTCGAAGCGGGAGGCTCAAACGTTGCACATGGACTTGTTTTACAGCACGCGGATCATTCAGAACTTACTGTTTAACCACATCCCGGCAAACAGACGGCGACAAACCCAACTGTCAGTTATTTTTTATTATCTAAAGTCATCGTTTCATTATAAGCAACGATATAAAAATGAGCGTGCAGCAGATTATGTGTTGTGTTTGCAACTTGATCCGCTGTATCATTAATGTTGTGTAAACATCCACATAAGTGCATCAGCTGCATTGCGATGGCTCCGGGGTTTTGTTTATTCAATATTATAAACGCGGCGTTCATAACATCCCTAACTGTGGAAATGGAAAGAGAGGGAGGATGATATAACAAGGTAGCAATATTTCTATAATTCCGTCTCAGGCAACGTTCAAGATGCCATATGGCAAAGTGGAACTCTAATTGACTTTCCATATAGCGAGCCTTTATGTTAATGGTAGACACATGGGTTGTTGCATGGGAGTGGAAAAGGGGGGGGTTCATAACATTACCCTGTGTCTCTTTAAAAAAAATTTAAGTTTCTTGTTGTATTCTGGAATGAGGTCAGACACGAGGCTCCTCATTGCACGCGCTGATTATTATTAGATTCCATTTAGGACCAATCGGCGTCCGGGAGGCGTGATTTTGGCGCAGAGGCAGGGTAGCGACAGCGCGTGATTGGTGGATTTTTATCGCCGTTGTATTGGGAAGGGATAAATTCAAGCAAGGGGGGCCGATTCTGAAGGGTTGCTTGAGAAGCGACTACAGACTTACAGATGGGAGGCGGGCAGTGGAACTCGCTCTAGCGTCGTTTTTTTTTCCTCTCCCCTAACCCAGCATGAACTGCTTTTGACTGCAGGAGAGGGGACTGAGCAGATGCAGAGAGCCGCTTACTTTACACGTTGTAGCTACTTGGGCGCACAGTGTGGCACCGCAGTTGTGTAGCCTATCTCCACTGATCACTGGCTCCATTGATTTTTCTCTTTTTCAACGCTGAAGGGGAAAAAAAGACTTGAAGAGAGACCGACTCCAGAGTGCACAGCAAAAAAAAAAGACTGCTGTTTTTTTTAAAACCCCCACACAACCTGGAAATTAAAAGTTTTTTTTCTTTTTTTTTTTAATGACCTGGCCGTTTTTTCCGGCAACTCTGGACTGAAAAAGTGCGGCCGAGTTTTTCCTGCACATCTCAGGAGTGAGTTACTGCCTCAGACTGTCAAGAGTGGGAGAAATAAGCTGAGTTTGCTTTAAAGTGAATCAGAGGACCGAGGAGTGAGGGAGAGAAAGAGCAAGTACCCCGCTCTCCCCTCGTGTGTGTGTGACTGTGTGTGTGTGTGTGTGTGTATAATTGGGCAGCATGGTGCAGAAAATGAGCCACTCGGAGAGCACCGCCGAGGCGCTGTCCTTTTTCACCGGGGACTCGGGCTCCGACTCCGGGGCGTGCATGGACCTGGACCCGGCCGCCTCGCCTCTCTCCCCGGGCTCCACGGCCTCCTCCACCGCCGGGGACAAGCTGGGAGAGAACCCGGCGTGGTGCAAAACTCCCAGCGGCCACATCAAGAGACCCATGAACGCGTTCATGGTGTGGTCGCAGATCGAGAGGAGAAAGATCATGGAGCAGTCTCCGGATATGCACAACGCGGAGATCTCCAAGCGGCTGGGGAAGCGCTGGAAGCTGCTCCGAGACAGCGACAAGATCCCCTTCATCCGGGAAGCCGAGCGGCTCCGGCTCAAGCACATGGCGGACTACCCCGACTACAAGTACCGGCCCAGGAAGAAGGTCAAATCGAGCGCATCCAAGCCGGCCAGCGGCGGCGAGAGGGGGGACAAAGTTACGAGTAGCTCCAGCAACACCAGCACCAAGTCCTCCTCTTCGAAGAAGAGCGGACCCAAATCACCCAGCAGCAGCAGCAGCAGCAAGCCCAGCAAATCACTTTTCGGGAGCGGTAGCACCAAAGCATCACTGTTTGCCGCCGAGCACCCGGCAGAGCACCACCACAACTCTCTCTACAAGTCCAAGTCGGTCTCCTCCGCGGCGAAGCAGATACCGGAAGGCAAGAAGCCCAGGCGGGTGTACGTGTTCGGCAGCGGCGCGGCCGGCCTGAGCGTCAGCCCCGCGTCCTCCGTCGTGGTCCCGGCCAGCCCGACCCTCAGCAGCTCGGCGGACTCCAGCGACCCGCTCAGCCTGTACGAGGACGCGGCGGGCGGCCGGGAGGAGGGCCCGGAGCCCGGCAGCGGAGGAACCGGCGGGAGCAGCGGCAGCGGCGGTTCTTCGGAGCGGAACGGCGGGCACACGTACAGCAGCCGGCGGGCTTCCTCCCCCACTCCCTCCGGCTCCCACTCCTCCGTGTCGTCCTCCTCGTCCTCGTCGGAGGACGAGGAGTTCGAGGACGACCTGCTCGACATCAACCCCAGCCCGGGCTTCGACAGCATGTCGCTGGGCAGCTTCGGCTCCTCGGTGCTGGACAGAGACTGGGACTTGAACTGCGAGTCCATCTCCGGGGGGTCCCACTTCGAGTTCCCCGACTACTGCACGCCCGAAGTCAGCGAGATGATCTCCGGAGACTGGCTGGAGTCCACCATCTCCAACCTGGTTTTCACGTACTGAGTTTCGAAAAATGGCAACCACACGAGCACCGACAGAGAGCAGGGGTTCCTGTTCCAGTGGGCACCGTAGTTTGTGTTTCTCCAGACAAAGTAAAGCCCCACTGAGTCTGCCCCCGTCCCGTCTCGCGCTCAGCTAAAAGGCACGAGCTGCCAAATCCTTGGAAAACTTAACTTTGAAGCGAATAAACTCGCTTCGTGGACTTTTTTCTTCGGATGCGTGGACTGAGGGACCCGGTTCGACCACGGAGAGTGGAGGGAGTGCAAAAACACGAGAGAGAAGGAGAGACGGAGTGGGTTTCCTCACAGTGAGAGAAAAGGCTCAGTCCCGGACTGTTGTGAACTGATGAACCTAACTGTGATCGATTTGCACGTTACGCGGTCCGCCGTTCACCTAATCAATGTCTTTGCTGAGTTTTTTTTAAAAATGGACATTTCACAACTTTCTACCACTCGCCAAGTGAACCACACCACTAAAAAAAAGAAGGTACAAAACAGGACTGCCGTGCAGCATTTTTTTTTATTGTGGTGTCTCCAAAAGGCTTTTTTAATTGAACCGAGGTGGGTTGGTGTTTTTTTTTTTAAAGTCGACTATTTTCTCAAAAGTGGAAAAAAAAACCTGTTAAGCATGATAGCCTACTTTTGTTCCTATCTTGTGCTGAGATTTTCTGTGAGACTGTTGGAACAGTTTGAGAACTAGTATTAGGGTTATTTAAATGGATAGGTGGCACTCGCTTCAGTTCTTTTTTGGGGGGGAAAAGGACGATGAAATAATCACCAGCTGTTGTAATTTTTCAGACTTCAGGATCCAAACGCAACTTCAACTCTGTGCTGAACTTTATACATGTTTTTTTTCTCTACGATTCAGGACCAAAACTCCGTTTTGTTGTTTTGAGATGATAGCTACCATCATCACGGTTTTTCTTTTCCTCCCTCACCCTCTGAGCTGTGTTGTGTAGCTACATGTTTTCAGATACAATTTTTTTATGGGATGCTGTATTTATATAATGGGCCAAACGTTTTCTTTTTTAAGATACCATGTACACATGATCTAGTCTTTTTTCTTACACCGTTGTTTGTCAGTGTGTCTGTCACATTTCCTTCTCAGGCGAAGGGCTAGAGTTTTAAAAACACACAACTTTTCATTTCTTTTTATATTTAAATGTACACACTTTTGGACACTTAAAAAGAGAGGAAACAGTTTGATTATTTTCTCAGTGTATTTTTGTACAAATCTATATGGAAAATGGGGGAGTCAACAATCGGTGTGTGTAGCCTACTAATACAGCTGTATTGGATTTCCTTGTTTTTAATACCCAGGTAGGCTGGTTTTCATGCTGCCTTCAAGTGCTTATGGTAAGCTCGTTCACTTCAGAGGCTGTTGCCTGTTGATATGCTTTTATACGAACAAACAACAGGAAAGACCTCATAACCCTGCGGTGCCTGTTGTATGATTATTTTATTTCCCTGCTTTAAAGATCAAAGGCACCTTGCCACTTTTTGATGGAGGATATGAGCTAATGTGAATCAAGTGTGGAGTTCATATTTAAAATTCACAAAGAAAAGAAAAGAAAAGAAAACTTACTGCAACTTCTACCAGCAAATATGGTTAGGACTTATTTGGTGTCCACTTCTTTAACATCTGCAGTACATGCGTAATTGTTACAGATCATAAGGATATTAGAGTGATTATTTCCCGACAGCACTTGAAAGCAGCACCAGCCTAGTATAGACCTCCCTTCTCAACCCCTTCAAGTTTACAGTGCCAGACTGCAGGCTTCTTAAAGACACACGAACACATTTTAGGAGGCTGTTCCTGTGGACCATTTGGGTTTAAAAGCATTATTATCTCAAGCAGACACTTGCATTTTGCATTTCATATCAGACTTGCCTGTGATAACAATGAGGAGATTGTAGCTTTAAATTTGACTTGTCTCTTGATGTTTTCATTAACTGATGTCACAACTGCCAATCGACCACTGGATTGAACAGGTTCTCAATATTGCAACAAGCAGCAAAGATGATAACATCAGGCATATTCAAATTTTTGACTTGAGTTCGCAACACCTGCTTGAACTGCGTTTCTCATTGTATTTGACTATATAATCTTTTCTACTTGTCGGCTAACTATTAGCTAATAATTGTTTTAGTATCTTTATGGCATGGTGAATAGCATTTGTATTTCAGATTCAGGTTATTAGCTGTTGTGTTTTTTCAGAAAAAACAGAAAAAATGAGGAAAACGATTAAACGTGAACTTGATCTTTGTATATTTGACTGTACCATAAAGCAAAAAGATTGTGTGTTTATGTACGTTGTTGCTATCGAAGACAGGCACTGTCTAGAACTGCTATCTTTTACACATTCTTTCTTACATTTAAGGTGGTCAGTTCAGACTGTTTTTTTATATATATATATATGAAAGCATTTTTAAATATATTAACTTTATTTTTCATCCATCCTGTGCAATATGCTGTGTAGAATTATCATTTATTGTCTCTAATCATGCCATAAACAAAGGAACCACCCTTTATTTGAGACTCGAAGTAAAGGGAGAGGTGACTCATGCCAGCTAAATTGTGTCCATTCACTGCCTGTCAGATTGTTGATACAAACTTGTGTACAGAACTTTTTCAAGGAAGGAAATAAATATCAGCTGGAACTGAAACTTGTCAGCTCTCGTGTTCTGTTTGTTGGGCATTTTCTATTTTTGTCAGCAAGAGCCAAAACCAGATCTTTTATTGTGAGATCAACCAAACAAAAGTGAGCACCAAATCGCAAGGACAACTATCAACATAGTGTTTAATCTTATGGCATTGCATTTCAGATAAGATGGAGAATGCTGTCATGATCTTTCTTCAGAAAACCATACACTACATTCTTTTAAAATTGTAAAAAGTAGAAACTGCTCTGTGGAACACTACTTCAATTTGGTTTGCCAGTGTCCGATCAAACAAATGCCACATTTACACAATCAGAAGAAATCAAAGTTACTGAGTGTACCTAAGCATTCATGATTTATAGAAAACAACCATACTTTTTACATTAATTTGAATGCTGAGAATTCAGAAAGCTGGATGAGTTATTGGAAAGCTCAACATATTTGAACATTTTTCCCATAAAACCTTTAGAGGACTATGTATGTTATACAATCAGGATTTGTTGATCTGGGGCCTGGAAGGTCATATATCTTGATCTTGCTCTGGTCGTGCCAAACAGGAACACATCTGGTTCTTTAAAGTGTAGCTTTTTTCCTTTTCTTTTTTTACATCAGAGAGAAACAACATGGATGGCTACACTCATCTGCTCAAGGAGCCATGTAAAATTGATTTGTGGCTCAAGGGGTTGAGAATTGTGTACATTATGCAAACACTAGGACCATGTTTTGACTGGATGAAAACAGAAAATAGGTTAGTGTCACTTGAGAACAGGATATGGTTGTTTTTCCAACACTACAGGATCAAATGATTTACCCTGTGAATAAGATGAACTTACGATGTGGACTTCATAAATTCTTTTATCTTTTAATTCCTCTAGTCTATTCTAATGTATCTGATTTAGCATTGAGCATTATAACAAAAGACAGTGGACTTGATGATTGCAAATACATTATGTACATACTGGGGCCTTATTCTAATTTGACTGGTTGCTCTTTGTCATCTTAAATTTTCTATTCCAGGTGTATGGATATTCTATTCTATTCTATTCCAGCCAGTTGTGCTGATTGCTGGCGTCCAGACACTCATGTTTCCCCTTCCCCCTCTCCAGACAGGCCCTTAGTGGGGGAAGGGCTGTTTAAGCAGCAGTCAGCCAAGGGCCCTCCAGCATAGCTGACAAGCATGTCTGTCTGTCTGTCTGTCTGCTGCATTGTGTGTATGCATGTGTGTGCATGTCATTAGATGACGTGTGTGTGTGTGTGTGTGGAAAGACACTATATGTCCATCTCATGAATCATCATATGTTCGTGTTCTTTAGAAAATATTCTTTATTGAATTCCAAGAAATGCTTTCCAATAACAACTTTCCTAAATGAAGGAAATACCTTTCTATCTCATTTTATTCAAACTGCTGGTGTAATTGACCATGTAATGTCCCGATGGATTGATGTAAAATACACAAGTCTTTTTTCCACCAATTGTGCTGTTGTGATTTTTTTAATGCCATATTCAGATGAAGAATGCATAGAAAAACAGAGTCTAATTGAATCTGTGTTGGTGTCATTAGCTTTGAAGCGCACAAATAGAAGGTCATGAGATAAACACAGTATAGTCCAAATTATACCCACAGTAGTGTGGATGTCCTCCTGCTTTGAAAAACTGGAGCTCTGCAAAGAAATCAGCATTGGTACTGTTTTCATGCATGGTGAGAAAAAACTGGCCTAATACTTACCCATGAAATAAGCATTGACTAACACGAGGAAGAGTGTTTTTTTTAATCACATCTTAATATTGGATGATCAACTTTATGCAATGAATGCTGTATTTAAATCTTGAAAAGATACAAATGCCTCATATGAACATAATATCTACCGCGAATCATATAATCTGAACATTTCTGAACGGTTTCAAGAGCTTTCTATGTGTCAATGTGCATTAAGTGGAATGTAGACCTCTCATTGGAGTTTCATGTGTGGCTTAGCTTGCTCCTTAGTGGGAAAAGAGAAGCAGCAGCCAGGGACGTGCGGAACAACCCTAACTGCTGGAGTCAGTGGCCCTGTAAAACCACAGCAGGGGGGACTAAAGCTGGGGGGAGGTCTGACTGCCTCCTGCTGCATGTGTGTATGTGTAGCCACTGTTGGCTGAACTCAAAGAATGGGTGAATTAGAGGTGGTAGGGGTATGACACCTTCTCTCCTCCTTCGGGTCGATGCAGTCTCCCCCATTCATTTTCTTTGCTCAATTTGTTTGTTTCAGTTCAGTACACACAGCTTCATGAGCAGTCACATTCATGTTTCATTATCCTCATGCGTGTTCGGCATGTGGAGTATACTTACACAATGCTGCGGAT